TGTCTCGAGAATTAAATGCGTTGACTGCCTGTGTCCGCTTCTCGCTCGTCATTCCAGCGACAATAGTTACAAATTCCATGCCGAGAGCGTGCAGAAATATCAGCACCATCCAGCGGACGGTGGGCCATTGAATAAAAACGAGAAAACACGGCAGACGACCGCCTCTGAGACCGGGTCAATCGAACAGACCTTTTCTCTGAAATATCCGACAGAGGTACCGGAGCTTCGCGCATTGCCGTGTCAGATAATAGGCCATTGTCACGCGTGTGTTGGGGGCGAGGCAGGCTGTATCCGTGCGGGTATTCTGGAAGAAATAATCGAAGCCTCAATCCGAGGTGAGGATTTTCTCGGCGATTGCTTCTGTCTGTACCACGTAGGCCGTCCCGCACCCGACCTGCACTTCCCTTTCCCCCCTCCTGATTCGTCCTCTGTGCGTCGTCCCGTCTTCCAGGGTGCGTGCCTTCATCATTCCCTCGCCCGCCCAAACTAAAAGAGACAGATCATATCTTGAAATTTGAAACTCTCTTACACGCATGTGTTTAACGCGTAGAGACGCGATAAGGCAAATCTATCAACAACGATTACCTTTTTCTCTTTTGTACGCCCTCCTTTCTTCCTCTATTTCTATCCACCAACTGACCAGCCTCTTTACAAACTAATCTATCTATCAATCTATCTTTTATGGATTTCTTCATCTATTGTGATGCTTATTAATTGTGGATCTGCATTCTCTGTGGATTTGCCGTGCTGTCAGTTCATGTCTCGGTCTATCTGGCTTTCTATCATTCCAAGCATCTCTCCGCTGTCATCAGGGCCTTTTGTTAGGATATCGGTGTCCAGATGCTCAAGCAATTATCCTGGGATTGTCAGGGACCTGACCCTGGGATGTTCATGTGACCCGGTCACATGACCAGCGAACCCCCCAAGGTGGCCGGCGCAGCCGACCACCTTTCCCACCTCGTGCAGATTATTCTTAATTGAAGCACCCCTATACTTTAGGGATTCCAGGCCTCACACTAATAATCTGCACCGCTCCATCGAATACAATACTGAGTTTATTATTATATCGCTTTGCTGAATTGCTGAACCCTTTGTTTTGTTGAATTTGGCCACCGACGGCCACCGCTACGATCCAGCATCTATTTACCGAATTAAACCGACCCTCAAACCACGAACCAATCAGTCGAAATCCCTAGAAATCTTCCGAGACGCTATTTTACGCAGAATAGTAATACTAAAATCTTCGATTGATCCCGAGTGGCCTCTTACACAGCGAGATCCACTGTCAGAATGTCCGGTGTGGGTCGCTTTAGCAGCGCTACTTCCTTTCGCTCCACCGTGAGTGAGGACGAGCGCCAGGATCCTGATACTGCGGTTAAGATGTTTAGAGAGATGGCTAGAAAGCGTCCTACACTGAATAATGATACTATCCCGATTGCTGCTGCTTCAGGCAGCCAGATCGACGATAACCTTAACAAAGGTAAGGCCCCTTTTCGCCCCGTCTTCAGTCACAAAGAAGCGAGCGAAAGGGACTCTTTCGGCGCTACTCGCCCTCTGTTTAGTACTGGCCAATCGTCCGCAACGATCTCCGCGCCTTCTCCTCCTCCCTCTGCTCAGGACTTCGAGTTATTAAAGATGCGAATTCAAGTCCTGGAGGCAGAGGCAAAGATCTACGAAGCCTTATTTAAGTCTGCTGAAAGCGAGGCAAAGCTACATGGTACTAGAGCAGAGTGCTATAAGAAGATCGTTCAGCATTTCAACAATCAAAACGTGGCATTGCAAGAGGAAATGAAGCATTTTCAGACCTCTACTCGTCCGGAGCCAGGCTCGGGCCGCTTCGATGAGATCTTGTTCGCTAATATCGACGTCGACGAATCCGTCGAGAACGTCGAGGACGTCAGAACTCATATCTACACCCGTGCCGAGCGTCAGGGCACTGCAGATACCATATGGATTACCGCCGAGACCGCAAACTGGCGCTCCCGTGGTGAGAAGCCTCGCGAGCCACTTGGCCCCGGGGATGTTGACAATTATCATACTTGGTGTTTCGCTGTGGACCAAAAGCTTTGTATTGACTATCCACTGTATCCGGATGAAGCCAGTAAGATTGCATATGCCCAACGCCAGATGACCGGGACTCTTTTCATCACTATGAACAGCTACGCTACTTGCAACCCCGGTATGACGTACGACGAATTCATGAAGGAATTTGAGAACTACTTGGGTATCCATTTACTCGAAGATGACGCACGTAGGGAGCTCGTTCATATTAAGCAAGACCGTAAGGAATCCGTGACCGACTATTATCAACGTCTTATTCTTCTCTGGACCCGCGCCGGCACTGCGAATGTCGACCGCGTGTTGAAGCTTCGTCATACCGTGTTGTTGCATATTAGCATGCAGTTAGGTATTCAGCGGTTTAGCTCGGTCATGGAACTACTCGATGCTGTCCGGCAGGTAGAGCGCAATCGTAAAGAAATGGACTTCCACTTTCTTTGCGGCCCCCGCTCTCAGAATACCGCTGCCGCGTCAGCCAGCATTGCATCCAGGCGGATTGTAGTCACTACTAGTTTCGAGGCTACTGCGCCGGTACGCCCGAACATTATTATCGCTCCGAGCCCCCGTGGCCGCCGGTTTACATCTTTCTCTATTAAGCCTGCCGAATGACAGGGCGAGTGGTTCGAATCACAGCGCAACCTTCCGAGGCTGATCTCGGAAGATAGGACCCTGTTAGCTCGCTCAAGCCGCTGCTGGAGCTGTAGAGGCTCTAATTATCGCGCCAGCGATCCCTGTTGCCCTAATTACGCGTCCCATAATGGCAGAGGTAAATCGTTGAATAAAATCGCCGCGGACGCCGGAATTGAAGAATTTTCAGATTCGGAAAATGAGTAGTCTCTGATCAAAGTCGTGACCAGGGATTTATTATAGAGGAGGATCATCGTTTCTTATCGTCACTAGCACTAGGGTTGGAGAGCCAACTGAAGTTTGAAAGACACTTCGTAGTGTCTGTTAAGGTCCATTAACAGCCTCAAACAACTCCAGTCTTGATAGACAATGGAAGTGAAGTTGAAGCTATCGATCCTTTTCTCGTACGCAATCTAAATCTGTCTATCTTAGATCTTACGTTCCCGATTCCGCTGTATCTCGCAGATGGTATTCTTTATTTTACTGTGACTCAAATGGCTTTATTCAACTGCGCTATTGATAGTCATACGGAACAGTTAGCTGCCTACATCGCTCTCCTAGCCCGTTATAAGATAGTGTTAGGAGACAGGTGGCTAGCTAAGCATAACCCTCAGATCGACTTCACAAATCGTACCCTAACTTTCAATGCCCCCCAATGCTTCTCGGAGGGCTGCCTGCCCCGAGGCACGTCCTGCATTGTTTACGCTCACGGATTGAAGGCGATGCCCGGCAAGATTAGCTAGTTAGCTGGCTCCGTTAACATCTCGATCGTTTCAGCAAGACGTTTTATGTCGTTAGCCGCTCAGCAAAATCACCACGGTTATCTAGTCATGTCCAGAGACGGCAGAAAGCATCTCTGCGCCTCTACAACCAATGCCATACGTCCCGAAGACTACGACACTTTTATGGTCAATAAGGAAGTCTATACAATCGAACAGCTAAAGAAGCGTGTTCCTGAGAAATACCACTCGGTCATAGAAGTCTTTATAAAGCACGAGGCAGACACTTTACCACCACACCGGCCAGAGGACCACGACATCCAGTTAATAGAAGACGCCACGCCACCGTTTGCAAAGAGCTACCGCCTTATGACTGAGCAGGAGTTAGACGTCGTTTGGAAATATATCCAGGAGCAACTCGGAAAGGGATTCATTCGTCTAAGTTCCTTTTAGACTGCTGCACCCCTACTGATCGTGCGAAAGCCGAACGGAGGCCTACGGGTTTGCGTTGATTACCGTGTTTTAAACGAGCTCACGATCAAAAGCCGTTATCCTATTCCGCTGATTAATGAGACCCTAAATCGACTGAAGCGAGCGAAAGTATTTAGCAAGGTCGACGTGATTCACGCATTTAACCGATTACGTATAAAGGAGGGCCAGGAGTGGCTAACCGCGTTTAATATTCGATATGGCCAGTTCGAGTACTTAGTGATGCCATTCGGCCTTTGCAATGCACCTGCATCATTTCAAAGCTACATAAATAACTCATTTCTCGAATATCTGGATATCTTCTGTACCGCGTATCTAGACGATGTCTTGATTTATAGTGACAGCGAAGAGGAGCATACTGAGCACGTCCTGAAAGTTCTACGGCGCTTGTGAGATCGTGGGCTACAAATAGATATTGATAAATGCGAGTTTGACACGCAGGAAGTCAAGTATCTAGGCCTTATTGTTATTACGAATGGGATCCGCATGGATCCAGAGAAAGTGGCTGCTATTCGAGATTGGCAGACATCTAGTTCGGTCAAAGATGTTCTTTCTTTCGTGAATTTCGCTTGTTTCTATCGTCGTTTTATTAAAGGCTTCTTTCATTGTACCCGACCGCTTACCAACTTGACAAAAGGTAGTGAGACCTACGAGACTCGTACTGGGGCCCGCCGCGTACGTTACCCAACGTTCGTATGGATTCCCGAGTGTGATAAGGCCTTCAACGATCTTAAAGACGTCTTCTAGACCGCTCCGATCCTCGCCCATTTTGATCCTGAGTTGGAGACATGGCTCGAAACGGACTTCTCGGATTATGTGATCGCAGGCGTCGTCTCGCAAGTACATAAAGGCGTACTACGACCTGTTGTCTTTTTTTCGAAGAAAATGAGCCCCGCAGAGACGAATTATATGATCTATGATAAGGAATTACTCGCTATTATCTGTTTCTTCGAGATTTGGCGACCCGAGTTAGCCAGTGTGGCCCCAAGCAATCCAGTAAAGATATATACGGACCACCGGAATCTGCAGCACTTTATGATTACAAAGCAACTAAATCGCCGGCAAGCTCGTTGGGCCGAATTCCTTTCTGAATTCAATTTTAAGATTATGTATCGATCTGGCAAGCAAGGCGAGAAACCTGATATCCTCACCCGCCGTTCCCAGGACCTCCCGCAGGGCGCAGACGACACGCGCGAGAAAGAACGCTTCCAAGTGTTACTTCCAACGCAGCATCTAGATGAAGCGGTCCAAAAAGATCCACGTGTAGTCAGTACACGCAGGCGCCGCTTCTATACCTCTATCGAGCCCAATACCGCCCCTTTGGGAAGAGGGCAGGATGCACCATCGTAATCGTAATCCGGTAGTATCTCGGATACTCAACTACCACTAACTGCGAGCGACCCCAGCAGCACTACGACCTCCGCGTTGAGCGATCCCCCGGACCGTCACGACCAGTCAGACAATCAACTGGACGGCCAATTAGATGATCCTTTCGAAGTGGGTACTTAGAGTCACCTATCCCGCAACAATCAGATATATCTGCAGCCACCAAGGCGGATGAGGTTCTGTTGGAGACCCTTATCGATGAGGCCTACGAGAACGATAGAGTAGCCCAAGAAATCATGAAAACAAAACGCGAAGGCAGGCGCAAGCCACCAAGAATCGCCCTTGAGCAAGACATTAAGATCTCGATGGGCGAAATCGATATTCGAGAGCACCGTATATGGATCGGAGATCGCCTATTTATCCCTGAGCATCACGCACTGCGTCATCGTATTCTTCAGATGCTGCACCAACACCGACTATCAGGCCACCCAAGGCCCAAAGGCATGTTTCGAGCCGCTATTCGCAACTACTTCTGGCCACGCATGAAGCAAGATATTAATCGATACACGGATTTCTGCGCCACGTGTAAGCGAGCAAAGGCACGCAGTGTTCAAACGCAGGGTTTACTAAAGCCACTTCTTATACCGCGTCGTAAATGGCTCGACATCTCTATGGACATGGCGGAAGATCTATCTAAATACAATCGTCGAGAACGCGAATTTTGCCACATACTGGTAGTAGTCGACTGTCTAACTAAAGCTAAGGTTTTTGAGCCACTTGCTACGAAGTCGGTTGATGAGTTCACAGAGATAATGCACCGCCGCATTTTCTGCGAATATGGATTTCCTCGATCGATCGTTTCGGACCGCGATAGCGCATTCGCTAGTTATTTCTGGAAGCAATACTGCGCACAATATAGCATTAAATGTAAATTATCAACTGTCCACCATCCCGAGACCGACGAGCAGTCCGAGACCGCGATAAAGAGATTGAAGAACTACCTACGAGCTTATGTTAACTTTGCACAAGACGACTGAGCTGACTATCTACCTGACGCGCAATTCACAACGAATGACCACATCTCCGAGACCATCGGGATGACCGCGTTCTTTGCTAACTACAAATTTCACCCCCGTACCGACGCAGAACCACCGGACTCATTCGATAACCCTACACATCTCGAGATGGAAGCAACCGATCGAATTGTTCGACATACTGAAGCAATCAATGAGTTTCTGCGTAACGAGATCGTATGGGCCCAAGAAACCTACGCGCGCTATGCAGACGCCTACCGCCAGTCCCATCCTGCCTACCGAGTTGGAGACCGCGTCTTTGTAGATGCTAAGCACTTCTGTCTCCAGCGAGAGAATGATTCGCTATTCTCTAAAGCCCTCGGGCCGTGATCTATCACGCGAAATATCGATAATAAAGCATACGAGCTGCAGCTACCAGATTATATGCTTTCTGCCGGGATTACATCCGTTTTTCATCCCTCCCTGCTTCGCCTTGCCCCTGCCCCGGACGACGCTTATTCCGATCAACACGAGGATCCTCAGGAACCTGTCATGATCATGGACGTGGATACTATGGAGGAACACCCGAAATGGGTCATCCAGGAGGTCGTTGACTTCCGGCTGACACGACAAGGCCCGCAGTATAAAACGCTTTTCGAAGGCCCGTGGGAAAACTAGAATTCGAATCCGCCGTGACAGCGCTGGCAGGACTTTAAGAACTTCGCGGATCTGATATTGCAATATCATGCCCGGCACCCGGAGAAGCCGCCGCCGCCTACTTACTTTACAAACCCTCCGGGCGGCCCTAACGTCGCTGTACTCGTTAATTCGACACCGGCCGTGTGATTGGCTCCTCTTTTCATGTGTTTTTTATGCGTTGTTTTATCGATTTTTTGTGTATTTAGTCTTGTTACATGGCTCGTGGGACCTCGTCCGCTTGTTTAAGGGGGGGGTAGTGTCAGGGACCTGACCCTGGGATGTTCATGTGACCCGGTCACATGACCAGCGAACCCCCCAAGTAGACCTCGCCAAACGCGGGTTTGGGTTGGGTTTTTAATTTCTTTACCCGCCCACGGGCAACCCACCGCGGGTTTTGACCTTGATGAACCCGCCCATGGGTGCTTGGCGGGTACCCGCGGGTTACCCAAAAACCCCAAAAATATGCATAAATCGTGGATAAGCCTGATTAGTTACATGTCGTAATTTTGGTAATTTATTTCTGTTATGCTTTTGGGTGGATATTATATTGAAACAATATATACTATCAACCTAAAAATATATATTATCTTCCACATAAAGATCATCATATTCATTACACTCCTTCTGCATCTTAAGGGAGTAGAGGCCACATTGATAAGGTTATAAAAAGTTATAAATTCAAATCTTTATGAGTTGTCTTAGAATCACTATATCAAATTTGATAAATTAAATTAACAATTTGCATCTTCTCAGTGTCCTCCCGATTTCGTATTCTTGGGTTGGGTTGGATTGGGTTAGGTTTTGGATACCCGCGGGTTTTACGCGACTCAGGAATTGATAGATCCAAATGCACAACGCGACTCGAACAAAATCCACATCTAAACACTCAAGATACAAAAAATCTTTTTCAAAACCGACAGTCTATTCTTTCAGCATGACATCTTCTTCTTCATCGTCGCGATCAATACATCAGACTTTCAATCCTCTATTCTCCATTAAACCGTCCTCGGACGCTTTCTTAAACTCGGACATTCAATCTTCTGTAAGAGAATGAGCCCATCTCGTTTGCCTTCAAATATTACAAATATATTTATGTGAATACTAAGATAGACTGCAGCCTTTCAATGAATCCCGCAAGAACTACGATATAACCGCCCGAAGACCCCCGGCGACATTCAAACGTGTGGGATCTTAGCAAAGAAAAAAATGGATTTCGTACAAGTCGCATCTAGAGAGAGACTTCCTTAAATGATGGAAAAAAACGGAATACGGCTAAAAATTGAACGAAAACAGCCAATCTCAGATTAAATGATCCACCGAATCGCGTCACGCTAATATGTGGAAACACTTTGATCAGATGGCTGAAATTGATTCTAAACATCCTCGAGTCATCTATCAGACCTGTCTCACTGTGCTTGATCATCCGCAATATAAAAGAAATGGGACAAACGCCATGAGTAGACATAAAAAGTCTAATACTTGTCGCAAAAAAAAGAAAAAGGGATTTTATCAGTCACTGATTTCAGATTCGTTACAGAACCAATTCACAAAAGAGTCACCCAGTATTCACAGGGTAACAGCAATCCAACTTGAAAAGCAGCTTTTGAAGACAATTACCTGTCTTCGTTTATCTTTTCAGACAATGAAAAACCCGGTGTTTCAGAAACTACTTAGTCTCCTATATTCTGGCCCTGGAGAATTGGAACTCCCGTCAGCAAAAACCCTGCAAAAACAACTCCGGAATGCAGTTACCTGTCAGCAGGACTCACAATTGCAAGATCTGCCTAACGATGCCAAGGTTTCCCTCGCTTTAAATTGTTGAACCAGTCCATTCCAACAGACGTTTATAACAATCACAGTTTATTTCATCGATAAAGATTGGAACTATAAAGAAATGCTTCTTGGTTTTAAACCATTGCACGGTCCTCACACAAACAACAACCTGAATGATGTTTTACACCAATTACTGAAAAAATGCAAACTCCTAAATTGTATTTTTAGCGTTACTACAGATAACGCTACTAACAATGACACCATGATACAAGCATTGCAAGAAAGACTAATCTCTACCGGCGCAATTAATTTCAAAGAATCAATAATGCGGGTTCCCTGTATAATTCATGTGATCCAACTTTGCTTGAAACAACTCTTGAAACATATTAAAACAGCATCCAAGAATAAAGAGATAAAAGCTTTTTGATCTGACACTCAAGTGAATGGATTGAAGGATTCGGTCAACCATGAAAACATGACTCATACATTAACAAAAATGAGCCAAAATATTCATGATTTGTTCATCAATATAATGGGAGCATTGATAAAATTAGATTCAGTCCTTTGCGATCTTTGTCAACGCAAACCCACAACAATGAGATGCATTTTTATGTCTTCAATCAAACGGTGCTCGGCTTTTTCCGTTGCATGATATCCAAACACACTGAAATTCAACGTTCTTGATGCTTCGCCGAGCACACTGGCTAAAGAATATAATTGACAAATACTGCAGCGATCATGAATACTCGCAATTCAAGATTACTGACATCGAATGAAGGCAAATTGACTACCTAGTTCATCTAACCAAACCGTTCTTTCAGTTTACTATGGCTCTGATGAAGACCAGAGACGTCACAATCCATAATGTCTTTCTTGTGTACAGGAAGCTGCTGGAACATATTGAACGATCGAATCGAAAATTGAAGAGAAAGACAACACCCTAGAAAAAAGACATGTATGGCGCGTTGCTTGTTGCCAGACAGAAACTGAGAGAATACTATGAAAAGACTTACCGCAACCATGATTTTCTCTATGACACCGGAACATTACTCGCTCCTCAATATAAACTGAGTGCTTTCGATGATCGAGAGTACTCCATTTGCCACAAAAATACATCAAAAAGATACTGTGAATATTTGAGAACATCTTTCACACAGTATCAGCAACAAAATCCCAAATTATTATTCCGTACGGTGCAGCGCTCTTCCATTTCGCATAACACGGAGCTTGATCGGCTACTTGAACCACCTGACGCATCGATGTTCCACGAAGAGATAAAATATGACGAAGTGAACCAATATCTTAGAGAAGATACAAGCAATTAACACATTACACCAAAACGACTAACTAACCTCGAATAACAAATGTCCCTGTATCACCGCGACTGTATTGGAAGAAACATGAATGTAAATTTCCAGTGCTTTCTCAGCTCGCACAAGATTTGCTTTCGATCCC